CTATAGAGAAGATTAAAGGTTACCTCTTAAAGTGTGCCTTTAACAATCTTCATACATTTTCAAGAACTTTAAATTTTCAAATTTAAATTTAATCTTTATCCCAAGTCTCACAAATGTTTGGCCTCTATCAGTATCCACACGAATTGACAAACTTGAAGGATCTATTTCAACCATTGACAAACTAGTAGATAGAGAATGAGGGGTAATTCTTCTTGTGTTAACAAAAGAGTTGTTATTTCTATATCTCTTTAATCCATCTTCTATATAAAGGTATTTATAGAGCTTTAAAAGCTCTAATCCTAGTTTGGGTCAATTTGTAATTATCTCATAATTACATATAACCCATTTATTAACATTAATTATAAAAAGTCCTTAAATAACTCTTAATTAGGTTTTCACCCCAATTAACTCTTAATTGATTATCTTTCTTTTATCCTTTAGTTTCCAATCAATTTTATTATGTGTGACCTTATAGGTTCAAGTATACCCGATTATAGACATTCGATACTAATTACAAGTAGAATCTTAAATTAGAACTCTTTCTAATTTAACTTGAATTAGAACTCTTCTAATTTTTCCTTTATGAAGAACAATTAATATATTTATATTAATTTCATTCTTTGGACTTCTACTAATCATAAGTGACACCTAACAATATATCATGATCAACCTCCAAATAGCACAAAGTAGGTAAATAACCCATTTAGTCTATAGTTGTCATGCAATTCAATCTTTCTATCACACAATGCTCCAATTGAATTACTAAGGTATGAAATTACTGTCAAACTCCTAATTCAATCTAATGTGTTCAATCTTAGGACTATAACTTTTAATAATCAATTAGAAACTCTTTTCTAATTGTCATTCTACCTTGGCCAAAGACTTTTGGAGTCATATCCCAGAAGATCACATAGGACATTCTTCATTTAATTACTAAGGATGATAGATTCTATTTTGTACACCCATAAGTCTTCATGCATGCCAAACTATGTCCAACAATATATATCTAAGTTACATGGTTAGTATATGAATATGTTGTATAATTAAAGCATAGAAGTCCATGCACAAGACAACTATAGTGTCTCAAGTGTAAGGATCAGTTGCATAATTATAACTTTAGGATTTAATATTGACAGGTATGTAAAACTCTATATGAAAAATCTTACGTTAATCAATGGTCACGTTCAGTGTACTGGTTCTCTAACAACCACCCACACACCTGCTTCAGTATCCTAACACTAGTGACTTGGACGAGTCACATCATATCAAATATGAGTAAATATAGTGTGTGCTAGTCTATCTGGATTACATAGTGCCTAAATAATAATCTTATGATTAGGAACATTTAAGAGTTAAATACTAAGAAGTATATGTCTCCATTTCTCAACATCTTGAGAAACTATTTTCTTAACTTATACTTTATGGACTATATTATTTAAAATGAAATAAAGTAGAAACATGATAAATAAACTTGCCATTTTATTTAATTAAGTAATGAATATTGCTAGTACAACCCTAAAACATTATTTACATGATTGGTCTTAGAGCATATTACTAACAAATGATGGGTGTAATTAGTAGTGGACGACGATGGGTGCTTGTGGGCGACGATGATTGTGTTTGGTGAAGGCGAATGACAATGGTGATGGTGAGTAACAGTGGGTGGTGATAGGTATGGTGAAGGTGAGTGACAATAGGTGGCCATGACAGGTGGTTGTGGGTTGTGGTAATGGGTGGCGACGGGTGATGGTAGGCAACGATGAAAATGATGGGATGTTGATGGTATGTAATAAATATAAGAATGAAATAATGATGATGGCGGGGGGTTGGCGGTGGAATGCGATAATAACAATCGGTGGCGGGTGACGACAACAGTGGTGGTGGTAATAGTGAAGTGTTTTGTAGAAAAATAATTTTAAAGAAGTAGAAGTTAATTTTTTTTTACTTACTTATTTAAGTAGTAAAACTACTTTTGACTTATTTAGAAGTAATAAAAATAAGTTATTTCAAATATTACTTATTTTTTTTTTAAATATTTATGAAAAGTAATAAGTCCTATAAATACTTTTGAAAAGTCACCTCAAACACATATTTAAGACTTTATTTTTTCTATTAGATTTGGAGAGTTAATATTAATCATTGAATTAATTTTAAAATAACATTTAAAACGATCTCCACCACAAAATCAAAAATTATTTTTTTATGTTGCACTTTATTATATTGATTTAATTCGGCCCCACAATCCCACCAACAAAAGCATGCGAGTGGAGGTTAGTCTCCGGCAAGCTCTTTGATTGATACAATGAAAAAGTAGAAATAATAAATAAGAGATTATATTTAGTTTGAAAGAAAAATAAGAAGCATGAAAAAAATAGAAGGATTAGTATTTTTTTTAACTCATCAAAAATTTATCTTTTTAAAGAAGAAAAAAGTGAATGAAAAATTAATTATTTTGTTGAAATATATGTTTTTATCTTTATATATTTTAATATATATAGATATTATATTTATCTATTACATATTATATATTATGTATATATTAATTTCATATATAAATATATTAATAAAAATTTGCATTTATATATATATATATTAACGTTTCCATCCATACTAAAAAAAAACCTCCCACCAAATACCGAGGAGAAAACTAAAAATTCACCCCTTAAAGAATAAAATGTATCACTATCATTTTTTATGATTTCATCATTTATTAAATCCTACTAAACACACCATTAAGTAATCTCAAATGAACCCCTTTGACAATTGATGCTTTGATCGATAGTTAACTTAAATATATATGTTTCCCGCTCCCGCTCCCTCTCCCTCTCCCTCTTATTGTATGAAATATTATGATTGATCATGTTATAATTTTTAAAGGTTAAAATAAACTAATTAAAGTTATTCATAATCCTTGGTAATATTTTATGGTCAATCATAAATAATTATAATTAGTTATAATTTTATATTTAAATGATGCAATTTAAAATTTAAAAAATTATAACTTTCATGGTACTGTATTATTATTATTATTATTATTACTGTAATGCTATACCTATTGCCTCTTCCTTTCGTGTCAAAACTCAACAAACGACATCGTATCAAGTCTACAGTATGTTTTCACGTAATACCGTACGTCCCCACAACTCCCTTTGCAGTACCAATTCTCCGATCAATAAAGTATCTCTCAGATCTAATAATTATTTGCCAACCCAACCTCTCTCTCTCTATACACACCCACAACATAACAAGAGTTGCCAACAACTAGATCTTCTTCTTCTTCACCACCACCACCACCAAACCTACAACCATGGCTATGTCAGCAGCTCCCCCGCACTCTGTTCTCCTCAAAAAACCCAACCTCAGAACCACCGCAACAACCCAATTCACCGCCTTTCCAATCAACCCATCACACGCTGCCACCACCACCACCACCTACAAACTCATATCAATTACTTGTTCAACCACCACCCCCACTCTAAGATCGTCCCGTTAACAGGTGGATCGGGGATGGACAAAATTTTTTTAAGTAGATACGGGAATGAAGATTACACCCCCGTCTCCGCTTCAATCCATTAATATCCCTGTAGCATTAGTGGTATTTAAATGCCTAATGACATTCTCTACCTCGCAATTATGCAACAATATTCAAGGTGAATGAAGGAAAGCACAATGACTTCGAAATAATTATATGTTAACTATCGCTATTTATGTGAGCGGAGAAGATAATATGTCTGGGGTTTCCACGACTGAAATTTTATGTCTAATTTCATTAGGAAAAAAAAAATTTGGGTACCGTACAATGTACATTCTATTTTTTATTGGTAAGATCATGACACATATATAGTTTATATATTTTACTACTTTTCTTTATCATTTTCAAAATTGACGGACACAAATAAATTATCGTAAGATGTATGATTAAAATCTATTTTTTGTATGATGCCCAAAAGTTTAGTACCGGTCATAACCATATCCATGAATCTTCCTACACTTCATTCTACATGCATCTTTATCGTGATTAAACTCACCAAAACAAATTTTTAAAGGTGATTCAGTGGTCAATCTTGTACTCTTGTAAATAAGAAATCTCATGTTCGAGACTTGTCACACCCTTAAGAGTCAATCACCTTTATTAATCAAGAGACATATTCTTAAACTAGTTCAAATTATGTTGATTAGCTCAAGGGTCAAAGGAATAGTTGACAAAATGTAAGCTATCTAAAGGTTATAACCTCTTCTTGTATAAGTTATAATAACTACAAAGAACATAATAAATTTTAAAATATTATAATTGATCATGTTATAATTTTTAAAAATTAAGTTAAACTAATTGAAGCTATTCATGATCATTGATAATATTTTATGGTCAATCATAAATAATAAGAAGACCATTTTTACTCGTTACTCAAACTCTTTTATTTTTTTTTGAACAATTCTCAAACTCTTATTCAAAGAGTAAAAGTAGATTAAAAATAAGATCCAATTTTTTACTCAAACCTATATCAAATGAAAGGAGACTCAATTTTTAACTTAAATAAAAACAAACTCAAATATTTACTTAAATCTTCAATAATTAGATGTCATTTTTTTAAAAGATCCAATGACCATATTTCAACTTCCTTTAAATTTGAGTTTGTTCTAATTTAAATTTAAATTTGTCTTTTTTTAAATTTGAGTAAACATATGAATGTCTTAGTTATAACTTTACACTAGGAAAAATCCATGCTTGAAGGTATGGTAAAAATTTAAGAGAGATGTTAATGGCTGTTGAATAAGTTTATTTGAAATTGTCCGATAGGCTAATTGAAGTTTGTTATATTTAAACAATGCAACTTAAAATTTTTAAAATTATGGCTTTAGTGGTATTGTATTATTATTATTATTCCGTAATTTTAAATCTATTCATTGTGTCCTTCGTGTCAAAGCTCAACAAAACGACATCGTATCAAGCGTCCAAATACCGTACGTCCCAACAACTCCCCTTGGCAGTATCAATTCCACAATCAATAATCACTCTCTCAGATCTAAAATAATTATTTGTCAACCCAACTTCTCTCTCTCCCTATATACACACCCACAAAATAACACAGAATTGGCAACATTTAGATCTTATTCACTACCACCACGAAACCAACCACCATGGCTATGTCAGCAGCTTCCCCGCACTCTCTCCTCCTCAAAAAACCCAACCACAGAACCACCGCAACAACCCAATTCACAGGCTTTCCAATCAACCCATCACGCGCTGCCACCACCACCTACAAACCCATATCAATCACTTGTTCAACCACCACCCCACTCCAAGATCGCCCCGCCGCCACCTCCCAATCCTCAGATCGCGTCTTTAATTTCGCCGCCGGCCCCGCCACCCTCCCCGAAATTGTCCTCAAGAAAGCTGAATCTGAGCTCTACAACTGGCGTGGCTCGGGTATGTCCGTCATGGAGATGAGCCACAGAGGCAAGGAATTTCTCTCTATAATTCAGAAAGCGGAGTCAGATCTGCGTGCCCTCCTTGATATTCCGTCGGAATACGCCGTGCTCTTCCTCCAAGGTGGTGCCACCACCCAATTCGCCTCTGTCCCGTTGAATCTTTGCAACCCCGATGATCCGGTTGATTATATTGTCACCGGGTCTTGGGGCGATAAGGCTTTCAAGGAAGCGACCAAATTCTGCAAACCCACTGTGATTTGGTCAGGTAAATCGGAGAAATATACAAAGATTCCTGATTTCGATGCCTTGGAACAAAACCCGTCTGCCAAGTATTTGCATATATGCACAAATGAGACCATTCACGGGGTTGAATTCAAGAACTATCCAACCCCCAAGAACAAAGATGCGATTTTGATTGCTGATATGTCGTCGAATTTTTGTTCAAAGCCAGTGGAAGTGAGCAAATTTGGGGTGATCTATGCGGGTGCGCAGAAAAATGTTGGTCCTTCTGGGGTGACTATTGTTATTATCAGGAAAGATTTGATTAGAAATGCACAGCCAACCACTCCTGTGATGTTGGACTACAAGATTCACGCTGAGAACAATTCATTATACAATACGCCTCCTTGTTATGGTATTTATATGTGTGGGTTGGTGTTTGAAGATCTGTTGGCACAAGGTGGTTTGGTTGAGATTGAGAAGAAGAACATCAAGAAGGGTCAGCTTCTTTATGATACAATTGATCAGAGCAATGGGTTCTATAGGTGCCCCGTTGAGAAATCTGTGAGGTCATTGATGAATGTTCCGTTTACATTGGAGAAGTCTGAATTGGAGGCTGAGTTTATTAAGGAGGCGGCGAAGGAGAATATGGTGCAGCTCAAGGGACATAGGTCGGTTGGAGGGATGAGAGCTTCGATATATAATGCTATGTCATTGGCTGGAGTTGAGAAGTTGGTTGCTTTCATGAAGGATTTCCAGGCAAGGCATGGTTGATGTTGGAGTAGCGTAGAGATTAGCAAAACATGTGTTTTGCTCTGATTTGTTTTATTGTTCTTTTAATGTTTTGTTTGTTGTTTTTTGTTGTGGGGGTCAGCATTGTTGAATGCTTTTTTATGAGTATTATGTGGCAATTGTACTACGATTTCAGGAGAGAAATTTATGTCCTTTGATGCTTTTAGTTTCTTACGGAGTAGATATTTCCTTAGTCGAGTCCGTACTACACGTTAATCTTTCATTTTTTAGAACTTGACTTTATTAATTAGGGCTCACTTCCCCTATATACTTTAAGCTTGTGGACATTTCAAGCTCATACCTTTGCATCTTGCCTTTAGGTTTTATTGATTTGTATGCTAATGAGCTCTTTTCTTCGGATTTTGAGTCTAAGAAGCTCTACTTTAAAGCACAAAAGAATGATAACCCGATTTAGAGTCAGAAGATCACTCTATAGGGTCTCTGATCTCGGTGAAGGGAGGTGAAACGTAAGCGAGGAAGAAAATGCAACTCCAACAGCATAAGATCAACAGAAATGGGGGAAGGGGGTGGCATTTGAGTTCCACTTTTTTTTTCTTTTATAAAGAGCTGCAAAAGTGGCCTCACCCTCTTTGCCTACACCAAAGGGATCTTCAGAAAGGCGTTAACCGGTGATAAATTACTTAGTTTAGTTGATTGTTGTTTTGAAATCAAATGAATTTGATTTGAAAAATAAAAGCCCCCCTTGGATTGAATATCATCCTAAACTAGGTTTGAAAAAGAATTTTCTGGGAATTTAGTGGGCAGCCTAGTCATTTTATGTCCTAATACCTCTAGGGATTGGTTTTACATTAACTGTCACATGAGATTGATTTGTATCATGTATGTGATGTTATTGGATAATACAGCATCAGTGTCATAAGAAAAAGTCATATTGGACTCTATATATATGATTCAAACCTGGTAATAAGTGATCACCGGATTAATTTAGTCCAATTGCTCGTCTAAAGTCCAAACTAAACATACACTGGATTAAAAAGGAGATCCATGGGCTGATGAGAATCTATCCAGTTCTAGCGGAAAAAATAGTGAAATTTCATCCAATATATTTATTTTTTAATTTCCTTCTTGATAAACTATTTATTCATTAACAATGAATGATCCACTAAGAAAGAAATTCAAGAAAAAATATATAGGAGATAATCGCAATCAAGCAAAAAGAAGTCAACAACCCACCTACCCCACAATGGACTCCTAAAAAAATCAAAGAAATTAATCTAATTTGTTGAGAGTTTCGATAAAAAAGTTTTAAAAGTTCCTGCCATAATAATTCTATCACTTGACACGTCATTGATATCAACAAATTATTTTAGTTTTTTTTAGGTTTTAACAACATTACTCAACAAAAGAGACAAAACATACTTGAAAATAGAGTTGTGTCAAACTTTTCTATTTTTTATTTTCTTTTGCTGGACCATAGTTTTGCCACTTAATAAAGCAAATGTGGAATTGACGTAAAAAAAGTTCGGTACTAGTATAAAAAAGAGCACTACTTTTGGGATATACGAATTTAACCTAAATCATTGACTTAATAATTTATCTAGCAACATGAACTCAATAAAAAAAATCCAATAATTATAGTTATAAAAATGTTACTGAATCATATCAAATGTCGCATCAAAACAGATAAATTTTGGTGAGTTGTATATATGAGGGCCCTGTTTGTTTAGTGGGTTTGGGTAAACCTAGATGGTAGGTGGGTTGCATATATCCTAACTTAGGTTAACTATGTCAAATGATACTTTTATCCGTAATAAAATATTTCATCTATCAAATCATATCTCAACTCCTCCATTTACTCATCTATATAATTAAATATATGTACATATTAGATTGACCAATGAGTAATATAGTCATTTATAAAATAAATATATATTGATAATTATGATAAATCCCTGGATTCTCATGTATATATATTATTTACTAAATACGGATATGAATAGGATTCATATATAAATCTCATATAAACAAAAGTGAGGGTTGAGTTTAGTAGAATTTGATAATTCCTAGCTCTAAAACCATCCAACCATGCCCCAGAAGTTGCTACTCTCTGAAAAGAGGAAGCAACTCCGACGAAGCTAAACCCTGGATGCTGCACCCAAAAGCCTATTGGATAAAGAAAAAAAAAATGGAAGATGGTGATAGCAAGAAAAATCAAAATAACAAGAAGAAAAAGAATGGTTCGCTATCACAACTTACCAACAACCAACTCACCAACCCTCCTATCAACATCCGGAAAATAACATCAGCTCTTTTAAATATCTACAGAATCCCCAACAATTTCAAACAAATTTGAATTTGTTTGCTTGTTCAAGACCAAATTACTCCTTTGACTAGTACCATGTATATAGGTAGGAAACTGCCCAGAAAGCATCCAAGCACTTAGTTGAATGATGGGACATTTTTAGAAGATTACAGGATTAATGACGCGTGTCCTCAGTCCCAAGGGACTCCCCTCGCCCCCGGCGATGTATCCTCGGTCTCAATATTCACCTGCCCCGACTGATGGATTCCTTGGTTTTATGGTATACTCCCTCGGCTCTGAGGAGTTCTCTCGGCCCTGAAGAACCGATTGGCATCAATCTCTAAGTCATTGGTTTTTAAGGAAGCTAGTGATTGAAAATTGAACCGAACTAGACTAGGCTAGTAATTATGAAGACACTCTGTATAATGGAGTCAGTATGACACGATGAACTAGACATTCAGCCAAAGAGAGCCGGACGCATGGCATAAAAAGCAGGGTGAAGGGTAAAAAGACATAATTACCCCTGCTGATGTGCGGCTAATAAAGACAAACATTTAATGCATCATCTGTTGATAAGACATATAACATGGCTTGATAAGCTAAGAAGGAAAAAAATTAAATGTTTTGGGATCCGAGCATTCAATGCCTCAACATTGGAGAAAGAGCATTGAATGTCCAACAGTGCAAGAAATTAAGATAGGGACATTCTCCATAAAAAGTATGGGGCACGCTGTCCCATCTTTGAAGGGTACCTACTATCTAAACTATCAGTAATGATGAATTTTGGAAGGTATAAATATTCTACAATAACACATTGCAAAGGTACGCAAAATCGTCTCTCAAGAGTCTCAAACAGTGTTTTTTTCTTTCCCTCTCTCAAAGAACTGACTTGACCGTCGGAGGGGATACCCTGAAAAACACTCCGACGCCCTTCTAACCCTTCTTTTTTGTTTTAGGAGTCCCTCGTGAATCACTAGGATTGGTTCGACAGCACCAAAAACAATTCATCTCCAGCCTTTAGGCCCCTTTTGGTCCTCTCAATCTATTCCTTGTTGCCGGATCCACCATTCCAACGGGTCAAATCTCACCATGGGAGAGATCTGTCCTCATTCCGACTATTGTGCAGAAATTATGCCGCACATTGAACTAGTCGGCATGACCTACTGACAATAACATTGAAATAAAGAAAGAGTATTCAAATTAATTTACACATTTGATATATTAGGAATGATATAACATAGGTATTACACATCTTAGGTACGTCCCCATGTTCGAGCTAGATTTTGAGACTTGAACTTGGAAACTATTAGACAGTGCTATTATTCATGTCTTTTTTTTTTTTTTGATTCAATTGTCAAAAGTATTCAGGTTAGCTTACACACACTTCGATTAATCTTTTCCTCAGACTGGTTTTAAGTAGACCATTCACGTAGAGACTAGAGTATTCATAAAGGGATAAATCCGTCATGTCTTATTTTTAAAGAATTATTAAAATTCAAATTTAAAACGTCTAAATTTACAAATCATGTTTGGTACTATTTGAACTACCCTTGGGGTTCAATCAAGTCTCCTGCGGTTATAAAAAAGTCTTCTAACACGCAGTGGCATGACAACATACCAAACAAGGATAAAGCAGTGGCTACCTTCTTTGCTGACTCATAGATTTCCCTGCAAGTTTCACTAGAGACCATCTTCCCTTCCTCCTTCATTAGGTACTCCAAATTGTCGAATCAATATAATAAAACATAAAATTCTTGAAATACCTCACGAAGGATAAACCTCTTGTGGTCGGCTTCAAAGAGTTGTTAATATTTGAACATAAAACATCTGAATTTATAAGTCAACTTTATTACCGATTGAATATAAGAAAATTTATTATTTTATCTTATATTGAAAATAGAAATATTGGAGCCAAAAGAGTGAAACTCACGTGGACATGGGTTGATAATAATCAAACAAAGAAGAAAACCATTCTTATCCTCAACTAAACCACCAACCTTTACCTTCCTATCAACATCTCCAAAATGACCTAAACACTTTTAAAAATGCGTTAAAGTATCTTCTGAGACTAAAACACCAACATGCTTCTTTCTTTTGACTATTCATTCAAAGGACAATGGGGTAAGAAAGTGCCTAGAAAATGACCACCTAAGCACCTAGTTTTAATTAGTTGGCATGACGTATTTGGCACTAACATTATAATCAGGAAACAGAGTACCACACAAAATATGTGCTAGTTAACCAAGCTTACTGAATCCTGGTTAGTGTTTGGTGGTAAAAAGTCGAGCTTGAGTCGAGCATAAAAAGCTCGTTTGATTAATATGAGTTCAGGCTTACACTCATGAAGAGCCAATAGGGCAGTGAAACAAAAAGAGAACCATATGAACTGCCAAGTATTTTGTAGTTGCCATTGATATGGACCGGGAGGAAAGTTACAATGGTGAAATAGCAGTATTCATTGGTCTGATTTATATAGCCATTCTGAAAATCAATAATTGCTTAATTAGTGGTATTTTTCATAACCCAGCATAATGACAATAAAAGATAGTTTTGTCGACGAAGATTTCATTCTATTTCTATAGTCAATTGTATTTAATGGCAGCAATGATCGATAAATAGTATAAGCACAATTTTTTCTATATAATAAAGCTGAGCTGAATTTGAATTCTAAAATTTATCTTAAATTTTCCACAATTCAAATCGATTCTGAGCAAAACGTAAGTTTTTCACTGCTGTGAAACACCCACCCATCGCTGCCTAGCCGTTGCTCATCCATCATGGCCTGAAAATTGCAATGTCTAATTTTCTTTAAAATATATGTGCCAACAGCTCAATATAGAGAAGTTCATGTCACACCCGCACCCCGGATCACATAGGATTAGTAGCGGACCGTCCACCAAGGTCTTAATCAATTAACCCTGTGCATAATATATACAAAATAAAGTAGAAGATAAATAATAAAGTGATCAATTTCACCAATCTAATGAATACCAGAGAAATAAATTAAACATCAACAACATCATTATTAAACTCATGTAAAACAACAACTAAACTATAAGGTTCACTACTCTAAAGTATAAACATGAGCAACATTAATCCCAAAAATAATTAAATATTTGTCTCAAAACCACAAAGGACATTTATTGCTAAAAACTTACAATAACATAAATCTTCAATCCTTTTACTCCTTTGTCTGTCCGGGGACTTACTCCTCCCCTTGATTCTCACCTGAAAAATGTTAAATGTTTGAGTGAGCACAATGACCCGTGAATAACAACTACCTCTAATGATGTGTGAAAATAAATTCCACATTTTATATGTAAAAATAAATTTTGTTACCTACATAAGTACAACAAATTGTACCTCAATCCCTTCCTCGTCACCATGTAAATAAAATGATCTCATGATCATAAATAACTTCATAAAAGAAAAGACATTTATAACTCAAACACCCACTCATTTTCACAAATAACTTTATAAATGAAAAATATTTATAACTCAAAACACTCACACACATTTAGTTTCAAATAAATTTGTCAAATCATGTTTGTTACCACTAACCTAGTAATTGATCTCGTCTCTTGTTATCATTAATTTGATGATTGACCCCATCTCTTGTTATCACTAGCTTGATGACTGACCCCATCTCTTGTTATCACTAGCTTGATAACTGGCCCCTATGTGCACATCCCTATACCGACTACGCCGGTATACAATCTCGTTACCATTTAGACTTAGTAACTCAGTCCCCTTCTCATAAAACATGATTTCAACACACACACTAAAACTGTTGTTTTAGTCCCAACGCACACAAAATTTTCCTTTCATCAGCAAAACACATTTAGGCAATGATATAAAATCATCTCATAAGTTTTTTCAAACTTCACAAATATAACAATTCACAATTTCAAAACATTTAATTGCAACCTCAAACATCAATTTATATCATATATATAAAAATTCACACACACGCACCCACAGTTTAATATAGAAAATTCTCCCAATAGATGTAGTAAACTACTCACCTTGATTCTCAAAATTCAATTCAAAGCCCTCTTTCTCAACCTCAATGCAATCACCACCTAATCCAAAATAATATATAACAATCAATCAATATTCCTAATTTCGTCGTTTTGCGATTCTATATTTAATTTTTATACTTTCTATTCATTGATATATAATTAATATATATTTTACATACAAATATTTTTTCTAATACGAGGTAATATGGTATGGAAGTATTTTGGGCTGTTTAAAAAAAGTTTCTAAAGCTTGGGGTCAATTCATAATTTTTAAAACTTTTGGGGTCAAAGTGTAATTTCTTTGAAAAACAAATTTTCTGTTCTGCAAGACTGCCATAAAATTTCCAGAATTCAATTCTTGCAACTTACCAAGTAAAAAGGTGGTTAAAAAATAAATTTCAAAGAATATATGGGTCAAAGTAAAGCTCTTTCAAACTAAAAGGGAGGTTTCCATAATTTCACACTTTTTCACCATCTTTTTCCTATAGCTTCCTTTCCCTTTTTTTTTTTTTTTTTCTTTTTCTCCCCAACACATTGATTAAACTCAATCAATTCCAAACAACTATAAACTTAAAGATCAACATAATAACTTCAATAATTAATAAGGTACCATGAGACCTATATATATACACAAACATTATAAATCCTATACCCTTTAATTGAATAAGAATATAAAACTCATAAGAAAAATAATCAATCCATATCTTGGATGGATTCAAGTCCCTTTTTTTCTTTTTCCTCCTCCTCCTCCTTCTCTCTCTCTCTCTCTCTCTCTCTTTATATATATATATGTATATAACCTTGACTACCTTTCTCTCTTTCTCTTCTTTTTTTTTTCTTCACTCAAAATCTTAGTCTTTCATCTCCTTTCTCTTATTCTAACGTATGTGTATATATTGAGAAGAGAATATATATATCTATATGTCATTAGACTTCTAGGGCAATAAGAGAACTCATTTTAATCACACTTTTTTTTTATTCGCCCTATTTTGATCGGCTACATATACGTAAATGCAAAATAAAAAAAACCATACGATAACCCTACAATTCCTCATTCATTAATTACACTAACATCCCTTTTCAAAAATAATATCACAAATTGACATAAAATGAATTATATATATATATTTCAAAAATTTGGGGTATTACAGTTCAAATATCTGCAAAGATTTCTTGTTGATTGACTAGTTATTGCTTGTGCCTGAAGGCACAGAGTAATAAAAAATTGTAAACAATAACCATATTTGTATTCATATCCAAAATTAAATTATAAATATAGAGGAGAGATAAATGTATTTAAGTATCGGTTGTAATGAGAGTGAGGGGTAGTGGACAACAGTGGTGGTGGTAGGTGACGGTGATAGTTGTGGTGAATGACAATGACCATGGTAGTGGTGGCGACGACGACGGTGGCAGTGGTCGTGGCGGTAGTGCTGGCCGAGGTAGTGGTGAGACGGTTTCAAACATTATTTTTTATAAAGTACTTATGAGAAATAATTCTTAAAAATATTTTTAAAAAATCACTTCAAACACATCCTTAGGGACCTATTTTTCTTATTAAATTTAGGGCGTTAATATTAGCCGTTAGATTAATTTTAAAATAAAATTTAAAGCGATCTGAATTGCGAAAAGCAAAAATTATTTTTTTTATCTTTTGAAATTTGAATTGCAAGCTACTTTTTGTTGATTGATTGTTAGAACTTAGAAACATTGCCTACACTATTATTGTATAGTTAGCTAGTTGGATTATGTATTATAATTAGGCATGTGAATTGTGTCGGATGAAATGAGTTTGTATCAGGTTTTAACAGGTTCTTGTCAAAAAGTATTTCACTCATATCTGATTTGTTTATTAATATGTGTCTAATGACTCATGTCATATTGAGTTCGTGTCGTGTATGAATCACGTGTAACCGGCATATAAACGAGTTGTGTCTTGTAATTCTTTTGATTGACTTTATTTATATCCGATTCGTCTATTAATTGTGTAGGGTCGGGTCCGGCTTGTTTACGAAAACAGATGACTTAAAAAAGACCTAATTATAACCCACCGAAATAGAGAATTATTTTGTCGAAATTCAACGCTAGGAATGTTAATGGACCGAAGCAGGGCGGGGGTACAGTTTTCATCCCCATATCCACTTAAAAAATCCTCATCCATCTCCGGTCTACCCCTGCTAACGGATATAATTTTCATCCCCATCTTTGTCTATGGATAAATTTATAATTTCAGTCCCGTCTCCCCCGTACCCATCCAAGTCTAAGCCCAAGCCCAAACCAAGCAAATCATTAATACATTTGACGACCACCCAGTTATTTGCCCACGTAACTTGGAGAACAACACAAATGTCTAAAACAACTCTCAAACTTATAGTTTGTTTTAGAAGGCAGCAGCCAGCAGGTTGAAGGCTAGAACAATGTATATTTCAAACATTCTGACCTTGGAAATGCTTTACTAAAATATTCTGATACACTTTAGTGGTTGATGATCTAAACTTGTCACCATTACAAATGAATGATACCCTCTAAGCATTAACATATATATATAACGGGTAACGGGGACAGGACGGGGATAAGGGTAAGTCTATCCCCGCACGGATTTATACGGATATTTTCGTATACATCCACCGTTCAATACGTATAATCCCTCTCCAGTCCAAACATGACGGGTTTGGACAAATACCCGTTTTTTCCTTGTCCATTGTCATCCCTATTCAATCCCAGTTTTTGTATAAATACTCTTAATATAAGTTCCAATTTCGATTTTTTTTCATAATTTTCCAGTACAATTACCAGCAGTCGTCACAAACATTGAATTATACTTCTTTTTCTAAAATTGAAAAGCCTTCTTCTAGTTTCAATCCTACAGCATTGCTATTGGGCTTCTCACAATGTGCTTGGCACTCTCCAAGGAAAAATGACCAAATACTATCTGCTGTACTGGGTCACTGGTATTATTACCAACAATTCTGCTTTCAAATTTCACCGTGTAGCTCTGCTTTTCGTTCTAGTAATTGAACTATAGGTTCTGTGGGTGAACTGTTATGGCCACCCAATCTGAACGAGGATTGAAATTTTTGAATGTGTACTTTTGTGGCAGTGTTGCCCCCTCATTTGTCAGAGTTCTCTTTACCTCTTGAATGCAATTGTTGTGCTTGAACACGACTGAGAAAGAAGGATAATTCAGATTGGCTGGAGTACCAGCGCAAATGACTTCATCTGGGATTGTGTAGTTTAAACTAAACAAAAAGTTAGTGTAGTCAGATCCATTGGCATCGTAAATCAGCCCTGGATCTGCAGCCAAGCTTGGGTTGATGTGGCCAGCTCCAATGCCAAGCGCGTTTGCTGCCTTCATATGTTGCAATTGAATGATGTTCGTTGTCGATCAATCCAGCTGTCGTCATCATTGCTGATTGGATGGCCGCTGGGACCAATTGGGATGCATCGCACACAGGAGTGCAGCTGTTCTAGTAAAGATCATGCTTGGAAATGGCAAGTCCTTCATTGGTTTTTCTCTGTATATCTCGTCAAGTATCAGTACAACCCAGACTTCACTTGTACATGTCAATGGCTGTGGCTCTTTGAAGGAAAGTCATACTCTCGTGGGGAAGATCGTGGTATGTGACGGTATAGGAAAATACGGATTTTACTATGGACTTGTGGTACAGAAAACAGGTGAACTTGGACTAATCCAGCTGAACTCAGAAGAGAGTGGAGAAGGTCTAGTGGCTACACCTTACACATTGCCTGCAGCGATATTTTAAAGATGGAATGGCGATTCTAGTGGCTACACCATTCATCTCAGCTGTTTTAGTGTAATTTAGAATCGCCATTCCATCTTTAAACCAAAAAAAAAATTCCATCTTTAAACTCCACTATCGCAGCTGGCAATGTGAAAGGTGTAACCACTAGACCTTCTCCACTCTCCTCTGGTTTCAGCTGGATCAGTCCAAATTCGCATGCTATCTGTACAAAAAATCCATAGTAAAATCCATATATTCCTATACCGTCGCATACCACGATCTTTCCCACAACATTATAATTACGAATTTCCTCCACAGAGCCACAACCATTGACATGAATAAGTGAAGTCTGGCTAGACTGGTTTGTACTACGAGATACACAGAGAAGAACCAATGAAGGACTTGCCATTTCCAAGCATGATCTTTACTGGAAAAGCCTGATCAATAGATCGAGCTCCAACTGTGGCTACCCAGGGTGCCGTATTCTGAACAGTATATGCACGGGGTCCCATATTCCCGGCAGAGCATGCCACAAAAATGGCCCTCTTCATGGCGGCAGAAGTCCCCCTAGCTATCACGTCCTCGTAGTAAGGAGCATTTCCCCCTCCCATTGAAATTGACAAAATGTCTACTCCGTCTTCAATGGCACTTTCCATACCAGGAAACAAATCAGAGTCAGCATATCTGCCCTGGAAGCAAATCTTATACATTAGTAATACCATTGGCAAATCCATGTTGGCACCTGCAACCACGGCTCCAGCTGCAGTAGATGCGGTATGCATGCCATGATGAACTGCATCTCGTGGGGATTGGTAGTCATGGGCTTGGTGTCAGTTTGAACTTCCAGAAATGAAGTGTTGAGCGCCACTACTGAAGAACCTTGCCCCAATCAATTTTTTATTGCATAGTCTGGAGTTGAATCTGTATGCGCTTTTCCGATGGGGAGGAATTGGAGGCCCAAGTCTGTGATCACTGATAATCTTCTCATCAAAGTTTGTCTGGCCACAGACCATGATTTGTGCTCAGACCAAGAAACTGTGGTGACTGGGGTGTATGAAGTTGTTTCCTCACAGTGTCTTTGAAAACCACATTGACTCCAGGCAGTTCCAGGAGTTTATCACATTCTTCATCCGCTAATCTTGCTGCTAAATCTTCAAAGACCACATTGAATGTATAGAAAATTGGAGGAGTGGAGGGTGATTCAATGTTTGGGTCTGTCACTGAGCTGACCATAAAGACATGCCACTGTCCTTGTGTTGCAAAAGCTGAAGGCCTAGAAGGGCCATCAGTTCAGACAATATAACTTGACAGGGAAGGCTTAGATGCATCTGTTAGTTTGAGAGATAAGGAGAGGAGGCTGAAAAGGAGTGTGGATAGTGAAAAGAAATTGCAGAAAGAAATGCATGCCATCGTAGAAATCTTGGTTGGTTTCTGGAATTCTTTGAAGATGGTACCTCTGCCACATGTGGCATAAGGGGGTTTTTATAGAAGGAACACTGGACAGTTTTTCTTTTTTTATTTTTTTTTTTGGAGGGAGGGCAGACAGAGAGACTTATAGAAGAAGCAAAAACTAAAGAAGAGCCAAGACTTAATGAAGATGACAAATGACAATTCAGCCACTTGCAATTGTTAGGCCAGCTCAAGAGTAAAATGTTGCCTCATTCATATGGTAGTATTTTTATTTTGGGTCAGATATGGCAGTGATTTGGATCTTCAATAAACTTGATGTTGAGTTCTGGAGCTTAATCTGATGAACAGAATATATCTTGATTTTAAGCAAGTGCTTATGTGTGTAAGTTGTGCTTATGGACCCAATTTGGGGTGTAAATGCAAGTTATTACAGCCACAGGATGGTTCTAATTGCTTTTGTCTATATATGTAAAGTTTCAAGCCAAACCATTTATGGTGTACTCTTCTTTTCTTCCTCAGTTTTACTGTAATGCTCTTTGCATTTCTCTAGCTCTTCCCTTCCACCATAACTTTTAGATTTATTACAACAGTAATTGTAGTCCTAATCAGCTTTCAATGCAAATCCAGGTACAACATCAGGCTAGGTGGGTACATGTGACATTGCCAGGTACCCTCTTACCATTGATCCCCAAGGATTGCCTGAATAGCTTCCTCATGGAGATTCATAGGATTTGGATGGTTTTCTATATGATGTTTCCAACAATTGATATAAAACAATCGACTCTCTCTCTCTCTACGTGCCTGTTACTGTCATTTCTGAACTCATCGTAGCTAACTACTTTATAAGTTTTTGGAATCGAGCACAGCTGGTAGTTGTGAAAGAATTCATGGTGATTTTAATCCATTGAACAATCTCATTGATCTTACAAATCATGCATTTACTCACACAAGTAATTCCCCGTCCTTGTCTCATAGCTATAGTGGTATCGGCCTGTCCAATTCAAAGGGCTATAGTTGTATAATACTTACTCAAATAGCAGACCCCCATAAGGAAATAGAACTCTGAGTTTTTGGCCTCTTTATGTACACAAGGACATGTGCCACATGGAAGAATAATTACAAGAGTTGATCATTGTTTGAGAGAGAGAGAGAGAGAGAGAGAGAGATTAGGAGAGAGTTGATCTCTTTGTGTTATAATACACGACTGTTCTTGGCTTGAAATCTGTTTCAGGTTTTTGTAAGTGCTTCTATTCTATGTGTGTATGATTTGAGCTCATGGCACAAATTTTGTCATTAGATGTAAGTTATTATTATTGCCACATGATGGTTCTAATTGCATTTGTCTGTAAATTTGTAAGTTCAAGCCAAACCATTTATGGTGTACAACTCTTCTCTTCTTTTGTTTTAGTTTTTACTGTTATATATGCTCTTTGCATTTCTCTAGTTCTCTGTCCATCGGCGCGGTAACTTCCATATTTATTACAAACTTCATTACATATAGTCCTAATTGGCTTGCAATGAAATAGCTGTAGGTAGGATTTTGATGTTTTTTATTGCCATCTTCCCTTATAATAGTTAATACAATGCCTCCCCGTAATTAGCTGCCAAAAAAGGAGAAGAAGAAGACAACGACGACTATGCATCCTAGCTAGAAACAAAAGCAATGTGTGACAAGAACCTGATGGTCGACCCTTTTTTTATTTTTTTGACCTTTTTATTTTCTTAAATCCCAAATCTTGGGAAATATTTATGCAGCATAAGCAAACCAGAGACTAGACCACTTTAGGGCTTAGAGGTGCACTTTTTATGGATTTCAAAAATGATTTGATTATTATGATCTAACATGTTTTATGATATGCTAGTTTCTGTAATTTTTTTTTTTTTTGCTGGTTAGAAGATTGGTTAGGGGAAACTAGACGTAGCCATAAGATTCCCACACGCTGTATAATATTCGGTTTTAGCCATAGTCACAACAATATCTAATTCACAGGACTACTACTACAAATGGGCTCAAACTCATGACCACCGCAGGAGAGCAGAATTTTCACCCTCTACTAAAGCCAAATAGGCTGTCACTTTTGAATGGAATGTGTTTAATTAAAGACATTATGTAGCATCAAAAGCACGCGATGAGATCATAGCTTCGGCCTCAACGTAGGTGCGGTGGGATCTCTGCACGTAACTATGGTGTTGAGGGACAATACTCTCTGACAGATATGTGAAGTGGTCTATATGTATGTCTATTTTTTGTACCCAAAAAACAAAAAAAGAAGAGAAAAAAATATCAATAAATCCTACTAATTTACACTTCTCATACCCATGAAGTCCTATATATTTCTACTAGTACCAATAAATCATATTTTTTCAACAATAATTTCAAATAAGTTCACAATACCTTTTATTTCCTAATTTACTCCCTATAACTAGAAACCAAATTTTGTGTTTAACTCTAAAACATATCATAACCTGTTAAAAACAAATTACAAAACAAAATCTTAATAACTATGTAATATTTTTAAGTTTCATTGTATTCATAACTAAATTCAATAATTATATTGACTTATGAATTTTTCACCACTTGAAGTCTTGAAATCAACATCATCCTAGTCATATGATTGAGTTTTTCACAAATCTTAATTGTTTATTTGTATTGTATCTCTTATCATTTTATTTATTATCACTTATTTAATGTCAATAACATAATTGCTTTTATTGTTCTCGGGGGTAAAATAGAACTTCTAAGTAGATTATGCATTTTTTGGAATCATTTATGAAAAAAATAAGATTTGATACTACTGATGAATTTATTTTGAAAATAAATTGCTACTACTAATGAGTTATATGATTTGACCGAAATCTATAATATAAAACAGAACATACTTCAATAAGCTCCGATGGTATTAAATAAATTCATCTAACAGTCATCAACATCCCTTTTCATATTATTCACATTACAATGTACTTTCAGGCACGAGTTATCCCTAGTTTGATATATAAAGTAGGATTTATTGGTTATTTTTTCCTCCAAAGAATGAGCATTTGGAACTTTAGTTAACAGCTAAACTATTCAGACAATTTTTTTTTTTAAATGTATATAACATGCCACATGGAAGATCTAGGTGGTGTGCATATCCGATGAGAAATTGTTACAATAATAATTTGTTAAATATAGAAGTTGATTTTATAAAAAAAAAAATCTGACAAATTCACAAGTAATAGTGATTCATTTACCAATAGTATCAAAGTCAATTGGTGTGAGTTATACATACAAAATAAATTTCTGATTTAGGGCATGTTTTGATTGTCAGAATGGTTGGGATTGGAGTGGAAACCATAACCCAATCCAATCTACAACCTATGGCATCTATACCTAAATAAGGGGGTGAGATTCCGTAATACATTTTATCTTCAATTTTCTTCTTAGTAGATTATTTTTTATATATTCAAGTAGAATCTATTACATATAAGTGGATCTCTCACTCATTAATAATGAATTACAAGCCAATAATAAAATTGAAGAGAAAAATATATTGGAGGAGATCTGAATTTCATGATATGCCTTCATTCTGCTATCCCGGACCTCGAAGTCCTCATTTACCTAGTTCACGACCAGCTAGGAATCGCAAAAGATCCAAAGGTGTCTAACCCCAATCAAGTATGCGGCATCCAGTTCTGTTAGCAATACCTCATACTCGGCTTTGTTATTGGACGCCATGAATTTTAATCTGATTGCTCTTTCAATGATGAACTCTTCTGAGTTGACTAGCACAATACCTATCCCTGCCCCCCTTGCGTTCGAGGATCCATCAACATGAAGATCCCAAATGTCCCCTGTTAGATCCTATGACACTGGTGGGGGCTCAGACGCAGAGAACTCGGTGACAAAGTCCGCCAGGACTTGTCCTTTTATTGACGTTTGAGGTTTGTACCTGATTTCAAACTCCCCGAGCTCTATAGCCCATTTGGCAACCCTCCCGGATATATCGGCCCTGTGAAGGATCGGCTTGAGAGGTCGATCTATAAGGACGTCTATGGCGTGAGCCTGGAAATAGTGTCGAAGTTTCCTCGCCGAGATTACCAATGCCAAGACTGATTTCTCCATTGGAAAGTACCTTGTCTCGGCGTAAAGCAAGGTCTTGCTTACGAAATACACAGGTCTTTGGGCCCTTTTGTTATCCCTGACCAGTGCTCCACTAACAGCGTCTTGAGATACGGACAAGTAAAGGCTAAGCACCTCCCCTGCCATCGAAACAGATAAAGTCGGAGGATATTTCAAGTACTCCTTGATCCCTTCAAGAGCTCGATCGTATTTCTTGTCCCAAACCCCCTTAGCCGCCCTCCTCAACTTGGCAAAAAATGGTTTATGCTTATCGGACGACATGAAAATAAATTTGTTAAGGGCTGCCAACATCCTGGCCAATTTTTTAACATTCTTAATGGTCCTAGGCGTCCGGACATTCTGGATTGCTTGTATCTGCTCGGGGTTTGCCTCGATCCCCCGGTGAGTAACCAAATACCCCAAAATCTTACCTGAGCTCACTCCAAAGGCGCATTTCGAGGGGTTTAGTTTTAGGCCATACTTCCGGAGAATGGTGAATGTCGTCTCGAGATCATAGAGATGGTCACCCCCCTCTTTTCTTTTGACTAACATGTCATCAATGTGCACCTCCATCTTGTCGCCGAGTTGGTCTTTGAAAATTTTGTTCATCAAACGTTAGTAGGTCGCCCCAGCATTCTTCAACCCAAAAGGCATCACTGTGTAACAGTAGATCCCCCGGGGCGTGATGAATGTCGTTTTCTCCTGATCTAATTCATGCAAAGGAATCTGGTGATATCCAGCCTAAGCATCCATAAAAATGATGCGCTTGTGGCCGGCTGTGGCGTCTACCAGTTGATTAACCTTGGGTAAGGGGTATTCATCATTGGGTTAAGCCTTGTTCAGGTCCGTGAAATCCACGCAAACTCGTCATTGGGAGAACTGTACTTCCTTGATGGAACCTCTCCCCCCCCCCCCAATAACTTATCCACCTCTTCATCCACAACCTTCGCGTGGTAAGGCGTCGTTCTCCAGGCCTTCTACCTAACGGGTTTGAATGAGGGATTCACATGAAGCCAATGAGTCATCACCTCGGCATTTATCCCCGTCATCTCGGTCTGGATCCACGCAAAGACATCGGTATTGTGGCATAATAATAAGGCCATATCATTTCTCTCTGCGTCGCTGAGTGACTCTCCTACCAAAAAGTACTTCTTACCGTTATCTGGGCTCAAGAGAATCTTCACCAAGGCCTTACTAGACCGATTAGCCGGCTCTGTAATGGGCTCGTCCACTCCCGAACGATCACTCTGTGATTGCTATTTGGCAACCACCGCATCGGGATCACGCTCTTAACTCCCGTTTTCACCGCGGCATAGAAACAACTTTTCGTCGACGCTTGGTCACCCCAAATTTCCATTATGCCCTACGGTGTTGGAAATTTTATCTTCTAGTGATAGCATGAGTGGACCGCCTTTATTGCATGCAACCATGAGGGTTATTTTTCTAAGGGGCAGGGCACTAGAACCATTAAAGCCGATGAAGGGGGGTTTTACGGGTTCCAGATCTCCCTGAGAGAGTCTCATCTTGCAGAAAAGGTGATCGTACATCACCTCAGAAGAACTACCCAAGTCCACCAAGATCCTTTTGACGTCGAACTTCCCGACCCGCAAAGTGATCACCAATACAT